AGGGAGGATTAGTTTCAACGACCTAGTTCCACCCCTCGTCAAAATGGCGCCGTTGCCGAGGAACGGTGTCTATGTTTGAGTGTTTTTTATTGCTTGAGTCTAGGTCTTTGTATATACTTTTCTTTGATTTGATTTTTGTTTTCTTTGTATAAAAATGGCATGTCTATATTTTCCTTAATATGACAATGAGCCTTTTGTAAATATTTCCATAGACTTGAGGGATTTCTTGACTATCATTGTTGTAGTCTTTGGGAGACTTGTGAGATTTGTTATTTTGGTTTGAATGAACAAACTAGGAATGAATTTGAATGCATGCATAATGGTAGATTTAGAGCATTGTCAATTGATGATGCTTAGGATTTTTATGTTTGGTTTTCTAGGGATATATATAATAGGGATTATCATGTTTCCAATTTTGATGTGCAATGTGTTAATTCTTCTAATGTTAGCATGATTTCTCATGATTTGTCACATGATCCCATTAGTGAACCTAGAACAAATGCTTTCAATTTTAGTCCCTCTTTTATTCATGATAATGAGGTGCATGCTCAAGTTGACAAAACTCATATGTTTGATTGTGCCCCCACTCCCCAATTTGATGTATATGCTCATGATTTCAATGTTGATTCTTCAAATCTTGGTTCTACTTCTTCTTCTCTTGTTAAGCCTCAATCTTCTACACCTTTTGAATCTCTTATTGCTACTTTGGAAACTTAAATTAGGAATATTAAGCTTAGTGATGATCTTGGGCCTAAAAAGTAGTCAATTCTTAATTATTTGAGAAGTCAATTAGAGGTGATAAAAAAGAGTATGGAGCATCTTGAGGAGGGAAGAAAGAGAGGTAAAGAGCTAGAAAGCCAATTGTCATCCTTAATGCTTGTTCATGAAAAATCTCTATCCAATGTGTGTGTTGAGGGTGATGATGATAATTTTGAGCAACCAAGAGAGTGTGAGGATCCCATATGTGAGCATATGAGTGATGGTGAAGGAGTTGAGAATGAAGAGAGAGTTGAATTTGAAAATCCTAACCCTCATTCCCATCTTGATGAGCCTCAAGTGTATGTTTGTGAGCCTTCAATATATGAATACATTGACTCTTTTGAGGTAATGTCCCATTTTTTTTGTGAGAGTCATATGAATATTTATAGATTCTTGATGAGTACATCAAGAAAGCTTATTGGGATTTAGATGAGTTTACGATTACTCTACCTCCACTCATGCACGGTTTTGAGGACTTAGGTTTTGAGATAGTTGAAGGAAAGGTTGTTTATTGTGGTGCAAAGGAGGATGAGGTTGATTCCCTTGGAGTTTTTGAGCTCGAGGGAGGTGTAGATTGTGAGAGTTCTTCATTTGAGGACTCTATGATTGATTTTCATGCCCTCATTGGTGATATGAGACCTTGTGTTGAGGGAGTTGCTACCCAATTTCCCATTTCTCATACCCCTTTTTCTCACAGGTTTGACCACATCCCTTCTTGCCCTATTTTTCTCCCTTCTTATCTCAAAGAGCCTATGTAACACCCCAATAATTCTCTGTTTAAACCTGTGAGTACCCTAAAAAAAAAAATTCAAGAGAATTACTGGCGTGCTACCGCCATGTGTTCAAACGTTAAGGCTTTATCAGAAAATAGCAGCGAAAAAACTAACTCAGTTATAAATAAGTTTCAAAACCAGTAACCAAAACCATATTAAATCTTACAACTTAGAACCATTAAGGCCCTTATTCAAAACCCCACAAAAGTAATAAATAAATAAAACCAGAGTTTAAAAAAATTCAAACTTATGAAAAGAAATAAATTACGAATAATAACCAACTCTCCACTCAAAATCCCACAACCCTGATGCAAATGTTGCTTGTGTAAGAACATGTGGTTAATCTGCTCCCCAATATTACAAGTGTAAAAATTGGATCGTCACAAGGTCATTGAAAGGCGAAGGCCATTGACGAGGGGAAAACTAGGTCGTTATCTAATCTTCCCTCGGTCAAACTAAATTTATAAACACTTAACAAACCCTAATACGAGTATAGAGGCAAGTCAAGGGTCGAACCCAAAGGAACGGTAATGTTCAAGCACTTTCAATTATGCGCCTAAGCTAGGTCGAAGACGAAGGTAAGAGAGAATACTAACAACTAACAAAACAAGTAACCAAGGAAATAAAACACTAGGAACGGGAATCAACAAGTAATCATGTCAATTGCAACAACTTGGGAAGAGCATGCCAATCAAAGGTTGTGAGGACTAATGATAAGAGCAATCAATAGGAATCAAAGAGCTATTTCCTAATTGTTAAGCTAGGGTTCACTATGAATAACAAACTAAGAGAATCACAATCAAAACCAATAGATAATTGCAATTCCTAAATCAATTGTTCATGTCATTAGCAATTACAATGCAATCTAGCATAATTCTCAAGGCCTAATTGAATTAAACACATGCAAACCTTCACTAATCACTTTAATCTCAACAATCAATCAACACAATTTCCAAATTAATCACAATTAATCAATCATACAAGTTTCACCCAATTCCTAGCCAAACAACTATTCAAGAATCATCATCTATCAACTAACAACTATGGAAATCAAGAATTAACAAAATATCAAGAACGATTACACTAATCAAGCATCAAACATCAAAATTAAACCCAACAAACATGAAATTAAACAAAGGAAAAAGGTGAGATAGAGTTAAGAATGCTCATTGATAATAGAGAAGATCTTGAACACAATTGTCACCCTTGTATCTTCAATCTCTCAATCACCATTGAAATCCTTCACTTTCTCCCTCTAAACTACTCCTAATCTAGCCTAATCTAGAGAGAGAAGCTCTCAACATAAGAGATAAAACTATTCTAATAAAAAGAATTATGTGAATGAATCATAATAAAAACCCCCAAAAATAATCTATAAACAAAAGGAGAAAAGAAGTTTAAAATTGTAAAAGACCCAGAAGCCAGCGCCCTTGGAGAAATTTTCCGCGCCCGCGGAAACCTCGGAAGCCGCACCCGCGACCAAGGCCCGCGCCCGCGGAGAGCCCGCGGCCAGCCCGCAGAGAGTTACTGCCCAAAATCGGCAGAAATAGGTTACGACAGATTTATAGGGCCAACTTTGGAAGGCTGTAACTCACGATCTAAGAATTTTATGAAGGCGTGCGACCTATCATTGGAAAGCTCCTCAAGTCTAGTTTCCAACCCAACTTGAATCACCTCAATCCAATCTGTAGAACAACAGATATGGCCGAAACAATGCACAAAGGTCCTTTTTGATACTTTGTAAGCCTTCATTTTTTCCTTTGTTTCTTGGATTGGCTTGACTTGCGTGCTTGGCTTCCCTAACTTGGCTCCGTTAAATTCCTTGAATGCACTTGAGCTCCCTCCTTGATGATTAAATCCCGAGAAGCTCGACACACCTACAAAACAAGTCAAACAAACGGAGAAGCGAGGGAAATAGCCGAGAAATGAATAAAATAATAAGAAAACCATTAAAAGCATGCATTTCTCTAAACTAACACACAAACACGCAAATCAAGAATTATTCCCTAAAAACACGACATAAACGACTAAAAACGAGCATAGAAATATAAAGAAAATATAGCCTAAAGGTGCCATAAATGGCACGGATCAAATTCCCCCAAGCTAAACTTTTGCTCGTCTTCAAGCTAAATAAAATCAAACCCAAGGGAAAAATGATGAATTTATTCAAGCAAATAAAGAAACAAGAAAGATAGATGATAAGAATATACACTTACTCACTTTCGTAGGAATCACGGTCAATTTTAGCAACTAAAGACAAGCCATTTAAACCCCTAGATCGCCCTAGAGGACGAGTGATGCTCTTGTAAGGTTTCCTAAGAGATTAACCCATAACTCTCATAATAATACAAACAAGGAAAAGCATAAAGAAGGAAATCAAAATAAAGGAAGAGCAAACACATGTTCATGAAAGGACTTTTTAAAATGTACAAGCACAAATGTATGCAAATCTTTCTAAATAAGTAAGGGAGTGCACGCTCCAAGATACCTAAGGTTGATTGAAACATAAATATGCTAAGCATAGGAAATAGTTATTACATTCCACTTTCATCCCAAATGGTCTTACCGCGTTCCCCCTGCTAATCTCATATCTCTCCTTAGTGAGCATCTCATAATTTCCACGAAGGAACCGAAAAAAGATCAAATTTATGGCTACTCGACGTCTTGACTTCGCGTCCCCTTTCCTTAGGCTATAACCCATGATTTCCTCCACCGATGAATGACTCAACCCCTAGGTCAAAAGATCTTCCCAAAGGTTGTAACGTAAGGCAAAAAGGGTTAAGGTAGGCTAAATTTAAAATTTGGTGGTTAACCTAAATTATGAAGCAAAGATTGCGCATTTCTTTGCACCATGACCAAATAATCACCAAACAAAAATACCAACACCCCCAAGCTTAATCAAAGCTAAGATCACAAACATATACACAAAAAGCGTGAGAACGCTTCCCCCCAAGCTTAAATGGAGCATTGTCCTCGATGCTCAAAAAGGAAGAATACTCACATAAAAATATTTTTGCATTTTTCACTTTTTTATATAATTCTTTATTAGTGCTTTGTCCTCGCCTCTATTAACTTTGAACGGCTTTTTAAACTTTGCACTTGCTTTGTCCTTGCTTTTTATTTTTTTTTATTTTTTTTTACTTTGGATGGCTTTTTACTAGACATATGTCATTATTCACAATGTATATACAACACAAATTTGCTCATAAACTTGAACCAAGTTCCGAACTTATAGACCACAATCTTCAACAACAATGACCATTGCTTCACAAAAACCAAAAATGAAAATGAAAATGAAACAAAAGGCTCAAGAGCTAAAGACGTGGCTTGAAAATAAGGGAAAAAGGCTCAAAGGGTTAGCAAGTAGGCAAATGTAAACCCAAAAACTGAAGAAAATGAAAACTATCCTAGAAAAGAAAAAGTACCACCCCGAAAAGATGCATTTGTCACTACCACAAAAAGTGAAAAAAGTAACGCTTAATACAAAACTGTCAAGTTGCTTAGGCGTTCTCTAGAATTATATAGAACGCCCAAGATTGATGAACGTTGTATATGTAAAATCATATAGAACGCCTATCCTACCTAACAACTCTATTTGATTATATTACTTTTATAAATAAAACGTGACTTAATAATAGAACGCCTTGTATGGTTAACTGTTCTATATGAGTAAAAAAAACCTCCGCCTTTTATATTAAATGATTAAAATTTATTTGACAATTATTATAAAAATAAAAAATAAAAAAATGAACAACTAAACCCTACCCACCTCCTCTCTGTCAGTTACACACTTACACGCCTCTTGTTCTTCCATTCCTCTATTTCTTTCACCGATTCATCTTGTAAAATGAAAATAAAGTAAAATTTATCACCGATTCATCTACCTCAACATCTTTCTAAAGAGCAACCATTCTATCAGATCTTCCACCGTTGTCCGTTGCCGCTTATCGTGACCACAATTCTTACTGTTCATCGTTCACAAACCCCGGGTAAAAGTTCATTAGTTTAAATTTTCAATTCACAAATTTTCCCCTTAATTTTTCATTCTTATTTCTGCAATTGTTTACATTTTTGTTGAGAATTAGTTAATCTAAATAATTTTCATTGTGGGGGTAATATAAAATTATGCTTATAATTTGGTTTATCTTTACCCACAACTTTATTTTCAAGTTTTCATACTTTGGGCGTGATGATTGAAAGAATTCAGAGGATATTTACAAGCAATCCTCGAATTTGTCATGAAGAATTGAAAGATTATCAAGTATTTAAAACGACGAATTCGAGAATCGTTTTTTTGCATCTGACATCCATGGCTTTCCATTAACATTGTTGCTCTCTTGGTTGTTTCTCCATTATTGATTTTTATATGCTTTATTCATAACTTATATATTTTAATCTGTAAATTCTGTCAAATAGCTTTTGAATCTGCCAATACTAGTGAAATTAGTAAGGACCTCTGATTTCCAATATTGACTAGTACCTTCTTTTTTTTTTGGTATATTGAGTTCGATATTTAGTTTTTGTAGTTTTATTTATCTTATGAATTTTGATAATGATTTTGTTCTTGTTTTTTATTTTGATTGATGCAGATATACCTGGGAAGAAATGAAGATTAGCTATTTGTTTAAATTTATCTCTTGTTTCTCCATTACTATGTACTTCGTATAATTTACTTGAATTGTACTTTATACAATATTATGTAAGGTTGATTTTTTAATTTTAAATTGACTACTATATGAATTGTATATTACTCGTAATTCTGTATTTTGATATGTACACTATATTTATACTGTACTGTAATATTATTTTTATTTTTTTTACAAAAAATAAGGAAAAGAGAACTGTTAGCTAACATAGGCGTTCTCTTTTATGCAGTAATATAGAAACGCCTAACACAACACAAGCGTTCTATTTTCCTTGCTTTTTATAGATATTGTACCTATAATTAGAGACGCTTATATTGGATATGCGTTCTATTTTGCATAGAATATAGAACGCCAGAAAGAGGCGTCTCTTATACTTTATAAGGCACCCCACTTGAAGTACGCCTCTAAGGCGTTCTATATTGCCTTTTTCAGGGGTCCTCTATTGGCTATTTTGTGGTAGTGTGTCCTCCCTAGTTGGTTCGGTCTCGGTCTTAGGAATCATACGTTAAGATTCAAAATTAGGTTTGCGAAAGTCAAGGATCCATGCCACTCATGCAAGAAAATGTTGAAAGCTTGAAAAAGTATGAAGATAGGGAGCAACTACCAACATGCCACAAACAAGTAGAATTCAGCTTCATGATCCCCCTAGTTCTAGACAACTACCTTAGCATACTTTATCCTAGAATCAACCAAACATAATCTCAAACAGTGCACACCACTACCACTTAGGAAGAAAAGCATTCAAGTATACAAGTCCAAATGTTATTATGTCCAAAGCAAGAACAAAACAAAACACATTGAAAATTTTCCTTGATAAAAACAAAAATCTTTTTGGAGTTTTTCAAAATATGAGAACATGGAAAAGCATATACAAAGGTGCATGACATATATGAATCAAAATTCCACCAAACATGATAGAATACCCTCCCCCAAACTTGAATGAGACAACATGCTCAAACATAAATCAAATATTTCACGAGAGGGGAAAAACAAGGAGATTAATCCAATCAAACCAACATATGTCCAACAAGTCATCATCCACTAGAGAAAGAGGAAGGAAGGATATTACCGAATATTAGGTGGGTGTAAATACCCGCAAATGACCCAATTTTAACCTTTCAAAGCTAACAACCTCTAATATTGAATCTTGCCTTCTGTATGCTAGCAAATGTGGTGCCAATCTTCCTTGATTCTTGATCCAAATAGAAGCACCAAAGTATATCAAGTCATGTACCTAGCAAAAGGAACACAAACATTTCCATGAGATAAAATCTATTCTAAAAAGAAAAGAAAATGAAAGCAATAAAACATGGGTTACTTCCCGAGAAAGGCTTGCTTAAGGTCCAAGCTTGACCGCTCTAGAAAATAATAATTCAACGCGCGCAAGAGCTTGTCAAATGCACTACCACACATTTCATAGGAGAGAAGGTAGGCAAATGACGCAAAGAGTACGTGCAACAAGGATAGTGCACGCAAATGAGGAGAGAGATGCCAAGAAAAGGAAGAGGAAGAATCAAAAGAAAATTCAACAAAATATGAAGAAAAAGAAAAAGAAGAACAAGAAGAAAAAGAAGGCAAACTCTCCTCAAAATTTTTGTGGGTGGCAACATCACCCTTTTCCTCAATTGGGGACGAATGAGCTTCATACAAATCATCATAGACAAAAGGGTCTCCAATAGGCTCATTGACAAAAGAAGGGAGGGAAATAGGAGTGTAAGGGATATGGTTGAATCTTCTTGAAAAAGGGGTATGAGAAAAGAGAAAAGGGGCTATGGTCTCACAAATGAACTTTTTCTCACCGCCATGCCTCAAATCACCAATAAGAGCATGGAAATCAATCATACAGTCCTCAAAAGAAGAACACTCATGATATCCATCTCCCTCAAACATCCAACCTCTAAGAGGAACAACATAATCCCCTCCATCATAACTATGAACAACAACTCCCTCAACAACTTTAAAGCCCAAGTTCTCAAAACCATGCATGAATGGATGCAAATTCATTTCAAACTCATCTCTCTCCCATGAAGCATCCTCAATGAAATCATTTAAATTGCTACGGGTTTTCTTTTGACTCTTAAAGAATGCATTGGACACAACCTCAAACGAGTCTAGATACTCATGGACAGAAGAATCACAATCATACACAAGAGACTCATCAAGATGGGAAGGAGGGTTAGGATAATCAAATTCAACACTCTCTTGGTTTTCAACTCCTTCGCCATCACTAACATGCTCACCAAAAGGATCCTCACCTTCTCTTTGTTGTTCAAAATCATCATCATCATCCTCAACACACACATTGGATAGGGATTTTTCACATACAAGCAGGAAGGATGACAATTCATTTTCCAACTCTTCTTTTCTTTTCAATTCTTTATTAAAAATATCCTCACCCTCTCTAATCATCTCCAATTAGCTCCTTAAAGTTTCCATCATTTGTCTCTCTAAAGGCCTAAGATTAGGATTCATCTCTAACTCCCTCAAAGATTCATCAATTTGGCTATAGGGGACTAGAGACTCATCACAAGAGTTTGGAGAATGAAAAGACAAAGAGGGTTGATCAATAGTATAAGAAGAGTCACAATCAAGGTAGAACCATGCACATTAAAATCATGAGCATTTTCGCTAAATAGGGGAGAGGGGGAACAATTAAGCATATGAGATTCGTTATTAAGGGAATGAACTACATCACAAGAATACATGGCAAATAATGAAGAAAATTGAAACACGCCATTAACATCCACTTGAGCATGCACTTCATCATCATGAACAAAAGGAGAAATGAAGTTGAAATCATGTGTTATAGGTTCACTTAAGGGCTCATGTGACAAATCTTGGGAATTCATGCTAGTATTAGAATAATCAACACATTGCAAATCAATATTAGAATCATGATTACCCCTATCATAAACATCCCTATCAAACCAAACATAAGAATCCCAAGCATCATCAATTGACAATGCTCTAAATTTACCATTATGTATGCATTAAAATTCATTTCTAGTTTGCTCATTCAAACCAAAATAACAAATGTCACAAGCCTCCAAAAGACTACAACAATTATATTCCAAAAATCCCTCAAATCTATTGAAATATTCACAAAAACGCTCATTGTCAAATTGAGGAAATGATAGACATGTCATTTTTTTTTCACAAAACAAACAAAAATCAAATAAAAGAAAAGTATACACAAAGACCTAGACTCAAGCAATAAAAAACACTCAAACATTGACACCGTTCCCCGGCAACGGCTCCATTTTGACGAGGGGAAAACTAGGTTGTCATCTAATCTTCCCTCGGTCAAACTAAATTTATAAACACTTAACAAACCCTAATACGAGTATAGAGGCAAGTCAAGGGTCGAACCCAAAGGAACGAGTAATGTTCAAGCACTTTCAATTATGCGCCTAAGCTAGGTCGAAGACGAAGGTAAGAGAGAATACTAACAACTAACAAAACAAGTAACCAAGGAAATAAGACACTAGGAACGGGAATCAACAAGTAATCATGTCAATTGCAACAACTTGGGAAGAGCATGCCAATCAAAGGTTGTGAGGACTAATGATAAGAGCAATCAATAGGAATCAAAGAGCTATTTCCTAATTGTTAATCTAGGGTTCACTATGAATAACAAACTAAGAGAATCACAATCAAAACCAATCGATAATTGCAATTCCTAAATCAATTGTTCATGTCATTAGCAATTAAAATGCAATATAGCATAATTCTCAAGGCCTAATTGAATTACACACATGCAAACCTTCACTAATCACTTTAATCTCAACAACCAATCAACACAATTCCCAAATTAATCACAATTAATCAATCATACAAGTTTCACCCAATTCCTAGCCAAACAACTATTCAAGAATCATCATCTATCAACTAACAACTATGGAAATCAAGAATCAACAAAATATCAAGAACAATTACACTAATCAAGCATTAAACATCAAAATTAAACCAAACAAACATGAAATTAAACAAAGCAATAAGGTGAGATAGAGTTAAGAATGCTCATTGATAATAGAGAAGATCTTGAACCCAGTTGTCACCCTTGTATCTTCAATCTCTCAATCACCATTGAAATCCTTCACTTTCTCTCTCTAAAACTACTCCTAATCTAGCCTAATCTAGAGAGAGAAGCTCTCAACCTAAGAGAGAAAACTATTCTAAGACTGAGAATTATGTGAATGAATCATAATAAAAACCCCCAAAAACAATCTATAAATAAAAGGAGAAAAGAAGCTTAAAATAATAAAAGACCCAGAAGCCTGCTCCCTCGGAGAAATCGGCCACGCCCCGGCCAGCCCGCGGAGAGTTACTGCCCAAAATCGGCAGAAATAGGTTACGGTGGATTTGCAGGGCCAACTTTGGAAGGTTGTAACTCCCGATCTAGGATTCTTATGAAGACATGAAACCTATCATTGGAAAGATCTTCAAGTCTAGTTTCCAACCCAACTTGAATCACCTCAATCGGATCTGTTAAACTAGAGATATCGTCGAAACAATGCACAAAGGTCCTTTCTGATACTTTGTAAGCCTTCATTTTCCTTTGTTTCTTGGATTGGCTTGACTTGCGTGCTTGGCTTCCATAACTTGGCTCCGTTAAATTCCTTGAATGCACTTGAGCTCCCTCCTTGATGATTAAATCCCGAGAAGCTCGACACACCTACAAAACATGTCAAACAAACGGAGAAGCGAGGGAAATAGCCGAGAAATGAATAAAATAATAAGAAAATCATTAAAAGCACGCATTTCTCTAAACTAACACATAAACATGCAAATCAAGAATTATTCCTTAAAAACACGACATAAACGACTAAAAACGAGATAGAAATATAGAGAAAACATAGCCTAAAGGTGTCATAAATGGCACGGATCAGCCATGTCCGAAGAAAGACGCACACAAAGCACTTAATCAGCAAAGCTGAGTACATACAAGCTGCGAAATAAAATAAGAATTCCCTAACATGAAACTAATAATCAAACATCATGCATCATTAAATTATAGACTCAACACACGCAATACACAAGGTTGTCCAACCCATGCTCCATATGGAACATCAATAAAAGAAAAACCCCATGCCTCCTTTCGGAAACATCAA